CATATACTTTACAAAGTGTTCTCCTGATAATTCTAGTACCTACCTGGCACCACAGGAAGTTCCCCTCATGGCTATTTTATTGCCTGAATACCATCTCTATGTGCTGTAAATGTTAATTGACTATCCTGTACCCAACAATGTAAAAGAAGTATGCATTTCTCAATTTTGCCTTTTAATCCAATCCCAGAGGTTTCTTGGCTTTGTTTTCTTCTGCCCCCTTACTCTAGAACCAGTGGATTTCATGGAACCCCCTACACAACCTCCTTTTTCTTTTTCTGTTTTTTGAAGCAATGTTTTTTTCTAATTCTTGTTTTTTTATTGTTGTTCGAGTACAATTTGTCTCCATTTTCCTCCCCACCACTTCCTCGGTCCCTCCTATCCTTGCTTACCCCCTTTGGTTTTGTCCATGCATCCTTTATACATGTTCCTTGAGGACCCTTCCCCTATTTTCCCCCATTATCACCTTCCCTCCTCCCCTTTGGTCGCTGTCAGTTCATTATTTTAATGTCTCTGGTTATATTTTGCTTACTTGTTTGTTTTGCTGATTAGGTTCTACTTATAGGTGAGATCATACCATATTTGTCTTTCACCACCTGGCTTATTTCACTTAGCATCATGCTCTCCAGATACATCCATGCTGTCACAAAGGGTAGGAGCCCCATCTTTCCTTCTGCTGTGTAGTATTCCATTGTGTATATGGACCATAGTTTTTTGATCCACTCATTTACTGATGGGCACTTGGATTGCTTCCAATACTTAGCTATTGTAAATTGTGCTGCTATGAATATTACACTTTTTCTAATGTATAAAATAAGCTTCAAAATTTCCATTCTCCAGGGCATTTTCTCAAACTCTTGAAATTTTGTTTTCCAGCAATTGTCATCAGTTTGACTCAAATAAACTCATAAAATTTCTTACAGATTTGAACTTTATTATATATTTGAACTTTATTTTATATTGACAAGGGATAATATCCTGCTTTATTTTGGTTTCTTAGGCAGCCTAGGGCTAAGGGTCTCAGACTTATATATATAATATCAACATGAGGATTCTCATATCATAATTTTGTGACCAAATATCCAGGCCCTTTAGTTTGGTCTCTGACCCTGTTCGAGTGACTAGGTCACTTTGCAATTTAAACTCTGACTCTGACTACCTTGACAAACTGCATTCCCACAAAACTTGTTTTATTGGTTTGTTTTGCAGACCGCAGGGGGAACTGAGGTGTTGGCTTATGTCTCCTGATCCTGCCTACCCTGCTGACCACGTCTTATGGCTCCAAATGTTGGCCATACTTGTGACTCCATCTGCTGCCCGTGAGTCACCTAAAACTACTCATTGTTCTTATCTCACAACCCCACTTGTTGACCACAGACTCAGCTGACCCTTGAAAGTCCAGTTGCTCCTACTAACCAGAAAATGAATTATGCAAATTTATGTTCTTGTTTCCCTAGCAACCCATCCCTTTGACTCTTGCTTTGTAAACCCTTGCCTTATTCTTCCCACCTCAGAGCAAGTTTTCAGTTCAACACAAAGGTCTTTGATTTGCAAATCATATCAGAACAAAATACGCCTTAATTGTTCAGAAAAGCCCTGTGGAAGTTTTGTTTACATACATTAGATGTAATCTTTAGGTCTAGCTCTACCTTGTCCTTTTATAGGAAGGCGACTCTGTCCCAGAAGCACTGCCCGCAGTCACATAGCCAGTCCTCTGGTAAGTCAAACCACAAATGGCTTCTCTCTTCTTCCACTGTCCTCCTTATATCACGGTACTGCCCCTGCTCCTTACACAATAACAGAAACAGATAATTCCTCCCTACCCATGAGGGTGGGAGAGAGCAGATAAATACCCCAAATAACAGACCTTCCCAATGTCGCAAATCCTCACACAGGTCTCACTGAAATGGACTGGGTATCACCTCAGAGTGAGGGTGGGACAAGTGAGGTCCACCTGTTATTACCTGTGTACCTTGTGAGGGATGAGCCCACGGTCACTGTGAAGTAATCTCAGCCATGAGGCTACTTGATTTAGATCTTAACCTCAAGGGCCAGAAAATAGGAGGGTATCTTCATTCAAGGCTTTAACGGGCTTTGAGAGAACACTTTCCCCCAATTCCCTATTTGGTCTGATTCTAATGCTTGCTAATGCTTCTTTGTTACTTATGGCAATGAAGGCTGTGAAAACAAGAACCATCCCAACAATTGACATTACCATATGGAGGGCATTGTACTGAGGACTTGACATGCATTGTATCATTTAGTTATTCTCACCACAATCCTGCGGCATAGGCACTGGTATTCTCCCCAGTTTACAGATGAGAAAACTAATGAAATTAAGCACCCTACTGAAGGTCCCACAGTCAGAAGAACTAGACCTCCAGCCAATCCAGGCAGGCTTTAAAGGCTGCACAAGTGCCAGCCAGGTGGCTCGAGGTAAGTCACTCACATCTCAGAACTTCAGTTTGTGATGTCAACTGGAATTAAAGATACTGTTACAGGGGAATCTGGCCAGACTGCTGGGTGGAGCAAGCGGAGGGACCCCTATCAAGCTCCAACTGGAGCTTGATAGATTTCCATACCCTCCAGTAAAGGTAAACAAACTAGTAGGGCTCATGACAGAGCTGGAGGAAGCTTGCACAGAGTGCACAGGCTGAAAATGTCACAACACGCGTGTATCATAGAGGTTTTCGTGGTGGCAGGAGGAGGGGCAGAGACGCTGTGCAGGTAATGGGTATGATGGACGCCAGCCTGGAATGGCTGGGAATTCGGAAGCTTTCACTGTTCATGGAATTTGGGGCCCAGACTTTCAAACGGAGGAGGTGCAGGAACTTGCCCTTTTATTTTATTCTCCTTGCTCACCTGGTTGTGAGCCTGGAGTGGGCACAGGACACAGCAGGTGCTGGGCTCCACTTGCCCCCTTTTTCCCTTGCCCTTGTTCACCTGGTCAGGCGCTGGCTGGTGCTGGGCCACACCCTGCTGGCAGCAGCCCACAGGACACTGTGGCTCTGCTCTGCATGGGTCCCTGACATTGCCCCTTCTCTCATTCAGATATCAGCGCACGGATTCATGGGCCAGAGCACTCACCAGCCCAGAGGCGCGAGCGGCAATGGGCAGTAGACTACACAGATGGAGGTCTTGGCACGACCAGTGGTGTGGTCAGCAGTGGCCCCGGGCCCCAGGAGAGGAAAGAACTTGTGGTGAGGCGGTGGTGATGCAGACCCCACAAGTGTGCACCCCACGGAGAGAGTGCCTGAAGCTGGAGACCCGTTCACGTAACAGACATGAGCAGACAGATGTGAGTGGAGTGAGGTGTCTGTATGCTGACTCTAGCTCTGGAGGTGGCTGGGTTCTCTCTGTGTTTTGCAGAAGAGACTGGCCTGGATCCCAAGAGCCCTAGCTCCCCCACATTGAGCAACCTTTTAATAAAGACCTCTTTCCTTTGCCATCAATCTTTGTGTTATGCCTGCATTTGGTGGCAGGCGGTTGAATCCCACTTTGTCGGGTAACAATACCTGCCTTGCTGGTGTGTCATGCAGATTAGATATAATGCCTGTGAAGTGCTTAGTATAGACTCCACGCTGCAACCAGTTCTTCATACAAAAATGTCATTTTAAGGCCCTCTTCCTATTATTCTCGTTTATTATACAAAAATCATGGGAGAACAAATATATTCCTTCTCTTAATACTTTAGTGAGAATAAGAATGAATGGAGGGCTCAGTGAGGACCCTAGGAGACCACGGGGTTATGGACACAGGAGAGAACCCAAAGGACACATACCACAGTTTAGTCCAAGTCTGACGGTCAGTGAAAGACAGGCTATTAGCCACATCGTAAAGCTAGACGGAAGATATTTATGGACTGGACAACAGGAAGCCTCCTTTGAGTAGTGAAAGGAGTTATTCCTGGGCACCTTTGGGATTCCCAGTGAAAAGTGAGCTCACTTCTACGATGGTAATATAAGAGCCATTAGGAGGCCCAGCTACAGGGGACCAACGCCAGCATTTACACACAGCCTCTCACCCCATCCCCCACAGCAACCCCAGAAGGTAAGGATTATTTTGCCTGTTTTATACAAGAGGACACAAACCTAAGTCTGCTTGATTCATAAACCCATGATTTTAAAACTGTACTTACTGGAACAGGCCAGTTGCAAGTGGGAAACAATAAAAAGAGGAAATAGAATTACGAAAGCAGAATTTCACAGATTTCCTGAGTAAGAAACCAAAACCGGAAACTAGAAACTCGTTCTCTCTCTTCTCTCTGTGTCTGTTCCTCCTCCTTTGCCCTCGGTCCTATTGGAGAACCAGCCACTCCATACTTCTGAGGTTATGTGCTACAGATCCGTCTTCTTATGTAGACCCTTTTCAACTTCCCAGGAGAATCATATTGGTCCCGTTTGAGTCAGGTGTCTTCCAATGTTCATATTGGTTGAGTGCTAGTACGAGCATGGCAGACAGAAACCACCCCTGAGAACTGAAGGGCATAGAGAAAGACGATTGATGTCTGGGGCGGATGAACACTGGAAAGGTATCTTCCTAGCTGTACTACTTCCCTATAATATGTTCAAGCATTTATTTATTTCAGAAAATTCAAACCTAACATGACCTGCATTAACATAAACATTAGTTGGGGGATGTGTAATAAAGATTACAGGTGCCCAAAGACAAGTGCTTTAGACAGAGAAACTAGTAAACCTGGAATAATGTATGGTAGCCAAGTAAAGTGCAGCAGGCCAGGTGCCTAATTTAAATGTTTTTCCGTTTCTATGGCAGTGCTATCTGACAGGGAAAAAAGCAAGCTACAAACATAATTGTAAACATTTTAGTAGCCATGTCTTTCTTAAATGAAAGAGGTAAATTCATGTTAATAATATATTTTATTTAACCCACTGTCCATAATATTATCAGTTCAACATGCAATCAATATTAAATAGTAATAATGACCTATTTTACATTTTTGTACTAAGTCTTCAAATATCTGATATGTATGATTCATTTAAAGCACATCTCAATTTGGATGCAATATTTTCATTGGAAATATCTGATCTGAATTAGACTTCCTAAAATTGACAATTAAATAAGTAGAGTTGTAATCACACGTTCCATTATTTTATACTATCTCTCATTCATTACACAGGATACAGTTAATTCATGCCATGAGAGTCAGGTACATCCCACTGAGCTGGCCCATCGCTCTGAGTGCTCCTCCTGTGCAGAAGTGATGATCATCAGTGAAGTGGCCACGCAGAGGCTGTGGGCCTCTGCCCCGAAAGTCAAAACAGCTGGAAACTGGGGGATACACTCTTTCACCTTTTCGCTTAGTCTACATGACAATAAATATTTTTTTCATCAATTGACTAAACTGTTTTAGTAATTTTTGAGGGTTTGTTTGTTGGGATGTTTTTGTGTTTTGTTTTGGTTTTTTTTTGCATTTAAACAATCTACTTTCCCTAGGAAGAGTTTTTCTGAAATTCTGTAGTTGCTTGTGGGGGTCAGCAGATGCTGATGAGTACGAATCACTGGAGACAAACTGCAAGCAGCTGACAGTTGTCTCCTGTTGGCAATTCTTGCATACAGTAGGCAGAAGCGAGAGACAAGAGTCGGTGTGCAGGGCACCAAGCCAAGACTTCCAGGTTGAATAACAAGTTCTCAGCTACCAGTAGAAGCCATCTGGACACCGGTCTAAAAGTAAAATCTTATAAATACAGCTCACGTCTGACAACCTCTAGTCTGCTGCCAGGGAAAGTCTCCCACCAGAAAATGTAGGTTCTAGTCCCTTTGGCCTAGAGTTCTCACACTCTCCTCTCTTGGTTATTGCCAAGCCTGAAGGGGCCTCGACTTTTCTTGTGCTTTTTCTTATTGGTATTTTGATTCAAAGAAGGCAGCGACAGCTCCATCTCCCTTTTCTTGGCATCCCAGTCTTGGTCCTGCTGGTCCAGAGGCAGCCCCTGCTGCTTGGCCATGAGGCGGTGGTCACGGCACTCAGGCTCGGCCCTAGGGAAGGGGGAGACAGTGACTCTCAGAGAGCGCTCAGGAGAGATGGCCAGGCTTTGAAATGGACCTCTCTTCCAACCCTCTGCACACAGCCTGGGTACCTCAGAGGTCCAGTCCAAAGGAAGGAGGCCAAGTTTAAGCATTTCCAAGTGTACACTTAAGGAGGTCTCAGACACTAAGAAAACTAGTGGGAGGTGGAGAAACCCAGTGTGCAAGGAGTGAGATGTTAACAGAATCAGAGAGTTAGGAACACAGCTTGAAGAAGTGCTAATTCTTGAAGTGCTTGCATTTCTACAGCAAACAGCATATTACTAGAGGCTGTTTTCCTTAATTTATATATATTTTTATTTTTCTTAATTATGAAAGCCATGTATGTTCATTACAAAAAGTTTAAAAGTACAGAAACATATACAAAAATAAAAATGACTAATAATTGTATGTGCACTGTATGTATAGATGGATTCATGTAAAGAATGGTTACTGATGATAGGTAGGTCATTAGATAGACAGATGGATGAATAGATTGTCATACACACATGAACAATGAGAAGTGTACATATGTATCGGCGTGTATATGGGTCAAAGGTGAGTATGCGACTTGCCTAAAGACTTTGGTGAAGGCCACTTCACAGAAATAAAATCTGAGCCAGTATGAAGACCAGTGGAACTTGAAAGGAAAGATGATGGTGCAGGAAGGGAGAACAGTATGTAAGTGCAAAGCATTATGCAAAGCTCAGCTCATTCAGAAGATAGAAAATCCGCATGCCCTTCAGCGCCCCTTCTCCCAACAAGCTGGCAGCGACATCTCAATAATCAGCTCACATACACTGTATCCCTCAATATTCAGTGTCCCTCCTCTGCCCTGCTCTTATGACCCTTGTCACTTCTATCTTGTATTACTGTTATTTATGTCAACAAGTTACCTCCTGTCCCTGACAGGGAACTTCTTGATGTCCCAGTACTGTAGGAGTTTTAACTTGAAATCCTTTTTAGTATCCAGTTCAATGCCATGCACATAGTAGGACTCCAGAGTATTGGTTGAATGAGATAGGCACTACTTAGTGAAGCTAGATCAAAAGTTGAATTAGCTAGGATTCCTCAGATATTCAGAAAATTTTCAAATACCGTCGAGGTCTCTTTTAAACTCTCTTACATTCTTTCTCTTTATCATGTTCATCCAGGACCTCACCCAGTTGCGACATGAATTTCTAAGAAATTCCTTAATGATCTTTTTACTTATAGTCTAAGTGCCTTCAATCCGATCTGAACAATACTTCTGCCTCTCCTACTAGAGGAGTAACTTAGCTGAAGCACCTCTTTCAGCTTGTCATTTCTTTAATGAGCTCACACTCATATGTCTGCCCAGCTCCCTTTGGCCAACCACTCGCCCACTGGGCCTCATTCTCCACTTCTCTCTGGTGTGATACTCTGCTTAGCCAGGCCGCTCATTTTTCCACTACCCCTCTACCTCCTCACATGTACATAACACCTATGCACATTTCCAACTTAGTGTCTTTCCTCCCAATCAAGAATCTTTCTCCCTCCTTCCTTAGCCAGGTCTTAGCCATCTTTCAAGGTCCAGATTCATTTCTCCTTAACCAGGGTGGCTTCTCTCTAAACTCCATGACTGTCACAGGGAAGTTCCTCATGGGAGCTGATGGTATGTAGAGATGACTTACACATGATGCGTTTTTTTTTTTTTTTTTTTTTTGTCTGCTCAGCACTCTCTGCCCACTTGTCCTGGCAATAGCTCTCCCAACTATTTGGAGGAACCACTCCTCCCCCCACTTCACTTATTCTGGGATGCCTTTCATGCTCAGCCGCCCCTTGATCACTGAGAGGGGCTGAGATCACTCAGAGGAAGTTAGTGGAGAAAAGCCAAGGACAGGACCCTGAGGAATTTCACCAATTTGCTCAGGACCCTGAGTAAAAATAGGCACCTAGAAAGACTTATGAGGAGAAATAGATAGGTAGACAGAGAATTAGAAGAGAAGAGCATCAGCTACAGCAAGAGACAAGAGTTTCAAGAGTATCAGATATCAAAGTAAGTGGAGGTAAGATATGATTGAGAAGAGGCCATTGGTTTGGGAACAAGTCTCCCTGGTAACAGGGATGAGAGCTGATTTAGCACAATGATAACTCTTATACCATGTCCCATTTTCCAACTTGCTGTCCTACCTCTCTTATCTGAGATCATTTTTGTATAATCTAAAATAATAATTATAGTAATGATATGTTATGGCATTAAAATGATAGTAATGTATAATTACAAAAATTATAATTTTGTATAATTCATAAGTAATAGATTTTATATAACCTAATACACTGTAGTTTCTAGACCAAATTAGTCCTTTCAGTAAAAAAATTAATAAAAACAACTCAAACAATAGTTGTCTGAATTTCCTCCTTTCATTTTCATTGACCTAAGATCACCGAGTCAGCAAAGACCTGGTCACGAGCTCCTGTTTCTCTGTCTTTTCGATAGTGGGAAATAAATGGAACTTACTTCTCTAGGAATGCCACACAGGCCTTCTGCCCATAGATCTGTGCGATCCTCTTTGGTGTGTCTCCAAAGAAGTCGGGAGCGTCGATGGCTGCGTGCAATGCATGGAGAGTTTTGAGCACATTCAGATGGCCTGACTCAGCTGCAAAATGAGCTGGGGTCCAACCCACATCAGTTACCAGGCAGGGTCTGGCTCCGTATTGTATGAGGAGTTGCAGCACCTCCATATGCCCTTAGATGCACCAAGAAGAAATAGGAGAGGGTTATGATTAAAACATCTCTGCCAGCTGGAAGCCAGGGCTAATTTAGACAGCACAAAAGAGGGGAAGAAATTGGCCTTTGAGTCCCCTCCACCTTCCTAGCATCCTTGCCTCTTCCCTTTTCTTCTCCTTAAGAAGGACCCATCACCCCATCCTTACCCCTGAAGAACTGAGCTCTCACCCAGGCCCGAGGGCCTATAATTATTCCCTCTACTCCTTCCCCGGCACTCTACTCTCCTCCCCGTCTGCTCCTGAAGCCCTGACTGGAAACCGTGCTTTCTCTCCCAAGTCACTCCACCCCTTCCTATGCTGGCACCGGCAGGGCTGGCTGCTTTTGGCAGTCTCAAGGCTGATCTCAAAAACAAATATTTTGCTACAGCACAGATGGACCTTGAGGGCATTATGCAAAGTCAGACAGAGAAAGACAGATGAGTCAAGACAGAGAAAGACAGATACTGTATGATCTCACTTCTGTGTGCGATCTAAAAAAACTGCAGCCAAGCTCATCGGTACAGAAAAAAAGATTATATTAGTGGGTTCTAGAGGTCAGGGGCGGGGTGAAATGGGTGAAGGTAACCAAAAGGTACAAACTTCCAGTTATAAGATAAACAAGTTCTGGGAATGTAATGTACAGCATGGCAACTATAGTTAATAATACTGTGCTACATATTTGAAAACTCCAAAGAGAATAGATCTTAAAACCTATGACAAGAAAAAAAGATTGTAGCTATGGATAGAGATGGATGTTAGCTACACTTTTTGTGGTGATCATATCACAATACATACAAAAATCAAATCATTATATTGTACACCCTGAACTGATAAAATGTTATATGTCAATTGTACCTTAATTAAGAATATTTGAAGTCCCACTTACATTACAGCTAGGAAAGAGTAATTGCACACGCTTCTACACAGATAGATGGGGCTTCTTACCTGACAATAAATATCAGTTACTAACTATGTCACCCCAGACAAGCAATAAATGTCTACAACTCAGTTTTCTCCTTTGTAAATTAAGGATGTTGCCACTTACTTCATTGAGTTCTTCTGAAGTACAAATAAAATCACAGATATGAAGTGCATATAGCTAGCATACAGAAAGTGTTTGCTAACAGGTCTCTGGTATAGCTACCATGACATTGCTCTTAAATTTTTGCAAAATTCTCCCAATTGATTTCTCTACAGCCAGCATTGCTTCCTGACAATCCATTCTTTATACAGGAGACAAAACAAATTTTTAGAAAGCAAAGTGGACTGTAACATTTTCTTAGTTAACATTCTTCAATGATGTTCTATTTCCAAAGGCCTTGACAAGCCCATTGGCCGAATTTTTGCCACTATCCTGCTCCAATTCGATATCTGAGCCATATTAGGCATGGGGAATGCAGCAACAAACAAGACAAAGTCCCTGTCCTGCTACAGAAACAATGCTTCATTCCCATTAGAGGTCAGGAGGGCAGAGGACCAATATTAATTGAGAGCAGACTATGTGCCGGGCACAGTACACCCTTTATCTCACTGAATCCTCACTGTACCACTCCAAGGCAGCATTATTGTTCCCATTGTGCAGATGAATACACTAAGGCCTAGAGACATTAAATAACTTGGTAAGGTGCTATTCCTAGTAAGTGAAGGTGCCAGGATTGAAATGTCCCAACTGCCTCCCAAGAAATGTTCTTCTACTTCCTTACACAGACTACTGACTGGTACCTTCATGAATAATGGACCCAAGGGGATGGGTTCTACCTTGGCATTGTCCACTCACCTTTGATTGCAGCCCAGTGAAGTGGGGTTCGGTCATTCCAGTCCACATCCTTGTAGTTTGGGTCACAGAGACCTTTCTTCAGAATCTTTTTCACTGAATTGTACTCCCCTGCAGCCACAGCTTGGTGGAGCTTTGTCATGTCTGACATTTTGGTCAGTTCCATGACAAAAAACAACTGTGGGAGAAACATGCCCCTTAGCAAATTCTCCACAGCTCTTTATTCCTGGTGAAGAATCTCTATCATAAATTCGCATCCGGGTTGCTTCATGTGTGTGCTCTGCTGAGTGTGTATTTGGATCCTAGCTCCTGTGGTTAGTACGTGCCAGTCACCTACTCACATCTATCAGTGGTTAGATGCCTCCAGGACTACAGGCTAAAGTCATGGGCTGGTACTTGTTCTTTGTCCTCAAACCACTTTCCAGGACTGGTAGTGTGACTCCGAGCTAATTGTGCAATTCTGTGCCTTACTTTCCTCATCTGTGGAACGAGTACAATGTGCCAGGGCTGTTTTGAGGGTAAGTGACAATCCACGTGAAAAGTTTAGACTGGGTACAGAATATATATTACATGGAAATTCAATATCAGTGCAACATCAATTCAGGAGATGAACAAAATATAAATATACAAATAAAATGGCTATAACTATTTACAGCATTAACGCATAAACCAACAATTCTCAAACTATTGTATACAGATGCTTGGGAATTCCTGAAAGTCTTCCACAAGATGTGTGAGGTCAAAATGGCTTTAATTACAATATGAAAATATCTTTGACCTTGCTCACAGTGCTTTGACCTTGCTCACAGTGCTGACAATTGCCCTGATGGTGTGCAAAGGGGTAGAAAAACTGCAGGGGTCTCAGCACAAGGAAAGGAGCAGAGGGCAGTGGCTCTAAATGGGACCAGCAGTCATGGTAACCTTTACCACCACACACATGCAATTAAAAAAAAAAGCTAATTTCAGTAAGAAACTATAACAATAAGAATTATTAGGTTTTATAAAAATTTTACCCTTGATTACATGACTTAGTGAAAGGGATTTTAAAATGATAAAATAGATCAACATTTGGCATGTCTGCATAACTCTATGAACCCATATGCTCTGCATGACAAGGACCGAATGTTGCAAAATTTCGCATGGGTACAGAGACCAATTCAAAACAGGCCAGTTCATTTTAGTTCAATGAAGTTTAATTTAGAGTATGAAAAGCACACTGAGATCATTTTAGATTCCAAGTGACATTCAAAGCACTACCACTCGTCCAGTTTTGGTGAGGTATCCAAGAAAAATATCCACAGTATCTGAAAAGGGTATAAAATACTCCTCCCTTTTCTAGCTTCATATACGTGTGAAACCAGATTTTCTTTATATACCTGAACCAGAACAACGGACTGAAAGCCGAAGCAGATGTGGGAATACAGCTGTCTTCTATTAAGCCACATATTAAGGAGATTTGCCAAAAAAATAAAACAATGCCCCTCTTCTTCTCATTTTTTATTTTAGAAAACCAGTTATTTTTCATTAAATATTTATATTATTCTCTATTATGCTTATTATGATTTTTGCAAATGAATTAATATACATTTTAAATTTTTTTGTTTTAAGTTCTAATGGCATAAATATTGATAGTTATTGTCCACATCTAAAAAACTCCCTTTGGGATTCTCAGTAATTTTTAAAAACAGAAAGGAGTCCTGAAACCGAAAAGAGTGAGAATTGCTGATGTAACAAAAAAGGGGCTGAGATACAGAAAAAAAAGAATGAGAAGACAGCCACTTGAAAGGGGCTGTTGGAAATGTCTCTTTGGTCCCCATATTGAAGTTGAGATGTTTAGAAGCTGGAGTCAAATACAACTGTGGTCCAGCAGCAGTAATAGCCAGCACATTTTAGAAATCCAAATTACTGGGCCCCGGATCAGACCTACTGAATGAGACACTGGGGTGGGAGGAGCAATCGGTGTTACAGTCAGTCCTCCGGGTGAGTCTGATGTAGGTGGACACAGGAGGCCCAACCCAGAGTGGGAGAGAAGGAAGTCATATCGTTTACGTGCAACGTCCAAAGTGTTATGATGGTGGTGATTTTCTGGGGACAGAAGGAAAGGACCATTTACCAAGACTAGGAAGTAAAAGGCACTTTTTCTCTCTCTGAAAGTGACCTAAGCTTGGTCCCAAAAGAATGATGAACAAAACAGAAATAGAGGCCCAGGCACATGGAACAGCTGACAGCTGAAAGCTGTCAGAGGGGAGGGGAAGGGAAGACTAGATGGAGGAAGGTGAAGGGATTGGCCAAAGAACATATATGCATAACCCATGGGCGCAGACAGCAGTGTGGTGATGGCCAGAGGGAAGGCGGGGGAGGGCAAGGGGCAGGTGGGCAAAAGGAAAGAAAATGGGGACATCTGTAATAATATAGACAATTAAAATTATAGAACATCGAATGAAGTTTTTCGTCATGTACAATAATGCTATAAGATATGACAACTATCATCATTCTTGTTACAGCTCTAAGTTTTCTTGTGCCATTCACTTGAGGGGGTTTCTTATGCTACGTAACGCTTAATAGCATAAAGCCAAAATAAAAAAATATTTTAAATAAGTTTTATCAATAGAATTAAAATAAAATTAAAGCCACAAACTTTTTTTTAGTATTTTTAGAAAGGATTTTCTTGTGGTGGTGTCATATATTTATGTATCTGTGTGTTTATTATCGTTTAAAGAGAATCATCTGATAAAATATCTAGAGATACACTATGTGGAATAATTAATTGATTCACCTTTTAAACAAATTATTGGACACTTGCACTGTGTAACACAAAATCATACACTTCTGGTTATAAATTCATTCAAGAATTCACCCAATGTTTTGAATGCTGTTTTTCTATTTTAATATTTTAATTAAATTTATTTTTAAAAAGTTTTAAAAAAGCAGCAGGAATAAGTCATCTTCGGTGCTGACAGTGGCAGGAGGTCCCAGCCCAGGCACAGCACATCTGTGGCGGGAAGACACCTTTACTGTGTAGACCAACAGTCCACAGATTTTCTTATAAAAGGCTAGATAGGAAGTTTTTTAGGCTTTGTAGGCCAACAGGTAAAATCAAGACTGTCATGTAACAAGAAAAACTCCTGACTGCTTTAACGGGGATGCGGCCCCCTAGGAAAGAGCTGGTCATGGGGGGCCAGCTTTGTGACCGGCACCGCTCAGCCGGAGACATTCTTAGGGCGAAGAGCAACCGGTCTGAGTGGGAAGGGCTGGCCGGTGGGATGGTCACTTTCATTCTACCCCAGGGATGCCCAGATCCCATCACACTCTTTCTCCTCTCCAAAAGTCCGACGGTCACAAGTTGACAGCTGGCAGGAGGCAAGGCGGACTATGGTTTCACTGCTCAGTGCCCTGTAGTTGCCAGTAGCAGAGTCCCCAAAGTGTAGGTGGTGAGCAGCAGGGCCCTGAGCAGTACCTAGGCACAGCAGTGGGCTCAGGAGGCAAGTGCTGGGAGGAAATGAGGGGCTGGGAGCACAGAGAGTAACCTCAGCTGGCTTCCCTGGACACACAGCGCTTACCCAGTGAGGCCCATCTCCATAGGTGCTGACCACAAGCTTACTGAAAACAGGGAGGGAGCCAGATTTGCTCTGGAGATTACAATTTTACCAGTCTCTGGTGTATATAAAGTATCTGGGATTTTGTTAAAATGCAGATGCTGATTCAGTAGGATGGGGATGAGGCCTGAGACGCTGCATTTGTAGCAAGTCCAGATAGCAGCTACTAGTTCACAGACCACACACTGGGTAGCAATCGCTCTGTAGCTATAAACTGGGGAGAGAGTGGGAGTAAGGTAGAAGCAGTCTGGCTGAATCGCTGGTGGGTTTAAACAGTAGATGCCTGGGCCTCAGACCAAAGGTGTTTAGCATCTCTGAGTGGCTGGCCAAAGACATGGCTTTTACCATGAAGTGGGTACTCAGTGCATATGTTAAGTAACAGAAGATGGTATAGGATTTTATCTTGTTTTCATAGAAAACCCTTATACTGGAGTATTCAATCAATGATAAAATAAAGTGATAAACAAAGGTGCCAGATGGTTCCAATCTGCAGGTGTCACAAAAATTCAAACCATTTCTAGCACCAGTGCACGGAAGCCTCTTTTCTTGCCATTCACACAAACCTTTATGCAGGCTTACACTTAAATAAACCCCACTTGCTTTACATGTGAGTTCATACCAAGACAATTCCACAAATTCCCATGGATAAATTATAATTTAAGTAGACACTCTCAGTGGGTAGGTGGCTAAATTTATTTGCAGAGAAACTGATGAGCTGATTCTAAAAACTCATGGAAATGTTAAAGGACTTGGAATGGCCAAAGAAACCATGAAAAAGAAGAATAAAGTAGCATTCACACTTCCTGATTTCTAAACTACTAAAAAGATGCAGTAACCATGGCAGTATGGTACAAAGTACGACATGCAGCGTGAAGATGGACATTTAGAGCAATGGAATAGAACTGAGAGTCCCCCAAATAACTTGACATTTACAGTCAATTGATTTTCAACAAAGGTACCAGGAAAATTCAATAGGGAATAAATGGCCTCTAAATGGTATTGACACAATTGGATATCCATATACAAAAGAATGAAGTTTGTCCTCTACCTCATGCCATATAAAAAACTTAACTTAAAAATGTACAACAGACCTAAATAAATGTCCTATAACTAAAACAGTTAAGAGGAAACATGGAGGTAAATCTTCATTGCATTGGATTAGGCAGTGGTTTATAGATAGAACAACAAAAGCATAAGAGCAAAAGAAAAAATTCAGTAAATTGCATTGCACTAAAATTAAAAACTTTTGCCCTGTAAATGATACCTTTGAGAAAGTATAAAGCAACTACAGAATGGGAGAAAATATTTGCAAATCATATATATGATAAGAAATTTGTGTCCAAAATATATAAGGTACTGTTACAACTAAACAATAAAAAAACAAATAACTCAAAGAATATAAACAAAAGTTTCTCCAAAACAAATAAGCACATAGCCAATAGTGCGTGACAGGTGCTCAACTTCATTAGTCATCAGGGAAATGCAAATCAAAACCACAGTGAGACACTGCTTCACACCCACCAGAATAACTATAATAAAAAAGACAAATAATCACAACTGTTGGCAAAGACGTGGAGAACTTGGAACCCTCATACACTGTGGTGGAAATATGAAATGGCAGAGCCACTTTGGAAAGCAGTTTGATGGTTTTTCAAAAGGTTAAACATAGAGTTATTATTATGTGACCAGTAATTCTAATCTCAGATATATACCTAAAAGAAATGAAAATATATCCACATAAAAGTTTATACACTAATGTTTATAGCAGCATTATTCATAATATCCCTAAAGTGGAAACAATCCAAAGTCTGTTAACGGACAAATAGATAAATAAAATGTGGGATACTCACACAGTGGGATATTATTTGACAATGAAAAAGGAATAAGGTGCTAATACATGCCATAACATGGATGAATCTTGAAGATATCCTAAGTGAAAGAAGCTAGTCACAAAAGGCCACGTATTTTAAGATTCTATTTATACGACATGTCCAGAATAGGCAAATCTATAGAAATAAAACATTGATTATTATTGGTTGCCTACCATTGGAATGAGGTAGGGGTGAGAAGTGCCTGCTAAAAAGTACAGGATTTCTCTTTGTGGTGATGAAATGATCTAAAATTAAATAGTGGGTGGTGATGCTTCGACAGCTTTGAACATATTAAAAACCATGGATTGTGTACTTTAAATAGGTAAATTTTATGGTATGTAAATTATATCTCAACAAAGCTGTTTAAAAATAAATGATACTATAAATTAGATGGTTTCTTAAAAGAACAAAAAATTATTTGTAGAAAACACACACAATTCACTAGCTTACCACTGACTACTAAAATGTAGCAAATTTTTCTTCACGTGAATCCCTGTATATTCATGTGCCTGAATTTCTGTCTTCCTGGTACAGGCGTCACAATGTAAAAAAGTAGCCAGGAAATACAAGCTTGAATGAATATGAGCCATCTAGAATAATAGCAGCAAACATCTGAAGACCAGGGTAATATAAAAATACTCACTGTCTTGTTTGAAACTGACTTGCTCGGTGCTGGCAGGAAGTCTCAGCCGCCAGTCTTGTTGTTTCACACCATGGAAACGGACTCCTCCTTCCTTCCTCATTAAAGCCCGTCAATCATCCTCAGCTTCTCTAGGTGGTAACTCTAGAGTGAATGGGGACTGCCCTCTGCTTTGCACTGAAAGTAGTCAGCAATTTCAGTCTGCTTCCATAGTCCAAGTGTGGTCCCTGGCATGTTAATTTCAAATGGCATTTAATTAAAAAAAAAACATGAACATTGGAAAAATGATTGACAGTTCATATGACACTATGGAGTAGTGGGGAACAAGGTGACCCCCTCACATTCAGGACCAGCTGGGAGAACTTGGACAAAGCCCTTAACTTTGCTGAATGTCTTATCTCACCAGCAAAATGAAGTTTTAACATCTTTCCCTAGGACTGTGAAAGATGAGCAGCTGAAATAATTTATGAACCTCCTAGCACAAGGTAGAGGGAGGGAGGAAGGAAACCTTTAGGTGCTTTCTCCTTGCCTCCTCTTTCTGCTCCCTTACTATAAGCATCTACTATCTTTATGATGATGCTGGTCTCAAAAGACATTCTTCCTCCCTCCTCTCTCTCTCTCTCTTCTATCCCTCTATCCCATACTTTCTTTCTCCTCTTCTTTCTACTCCTCTTCCTCCCCCTCTTCTCTCTCTCTCATCCTTTCTTTGTTCTTTTCCTTCCTACATGTATTTTTGTATTTGTTTTCTTCCTACCTTTCTCCCTACAAGTATTTATTTTCTTTCTACCTTTCTTCCCACGTGTATTTATTGAATACTTGGTATCTGCCAGACACTGTGCTGAACCTTGTGGAGAACAGGCAGTCGTTGCCCTCTCTTCTTTGAGCTTAGAGTTCAGAGAAAAAGACCGCCAATAAGAAAACAAATAAATGTATACATGTAAAATTACAACTTCTGTAAGTTTCATGAGCAAACAACATGCAATGGTAGAGAGTAATGGGAGAGGAGGGCGATGTCCTGAGGTGGTGACATTTGACCTGAGACCTGGCATGAGAGAAGTTAAGCATCCGAGGTGCTAGGGAAGGTGCTCCAGGCAGAGGGAGGGACGCAGTTTGGATTATGTGAGAAATAAAGTAGAGGAGGACGCAGCTGGTCTGCTGGGTATGGGGCAAGTGGAGCGAGATAAGATGACTTTAGCACGAGCAAAGGCTAGATCGTTCAGGGTCTCCCAGGACACAACAAGGATTTTAAAATTTTATTCCAAGGACAAGGGAAAGTCACTGAAAGGTTTTAAGCAAGGGACAAGATGGGGCAATTTATTTATATACATATTTCCAAGGTGACTTTGGCTTCTACTTGGGGTAGAGACTGAACGGAAACAAGATCAAAAGCAGGAAGATCACCGAGAAGGCTACTGCTGACTTCCAGACAGGAAAGAGTGGTGGCTTGTTGTGTTTGGCCATGGAGCTATGAAGATTGAAATCAGAAATTATTTAGGAGGGAATATTAACAGGACTTGTTGATGGAGTGAGTCTACATGTGTGGTGAGGCAGACATGGGGATAGAGGATGGTTGTTGAGCTTCTGGTTTGACCACTCTGGTGAGAAGGTGGCAACTTTTGATGGGATAGAGGTCACTAGAGGGGGGCCAAGCTTCGGTAGCAGAAGGATAGTTTGAATTAAATGTTCTGTTTTGAATGTGTTATGTTTTGAAATGCCTGTAAGGCATCCAAATATCAAATAGGAGTCCAAAGTTCTGTGATACCCACTGGGAGATGTCAGCATATAGGTGGTATTTAAAAGTATAGGACTATGTAAGAGAAACCAAGGATACAGCAAGTACAGGGAGGAGGGAGACCCAAGCTCTGAAGCCTGGCATCAGTTAGAGATCTGGCTGCCAAGGATGAATTATCAAAGCAGATTAAGAAGCACTGTCAGGTTGGAGGAAAACCAGGAGAAAACAGCTTCACAGAAGCTGTAGGCTAGAAGGAGTAATGGTCAACCTCATAAGGAGGGCAGACTTTAATGAATGCGTATGACAGGGTGGAAAGATTCACATGAGACCCCATGCTCACTCTCAAAAAACTCAGTGTCTTACTATTCTGTGGACCGCTCTGCCTGGTTTCAGGAATTGTAACTCTACCCCCTGTGGCTAAGGACGATCCGGTGATTTCTGGAATGTGAGCCACAGGAGACAAAGCTTGTCTCTGGTAGCAAATACTGCCTCAGTTCTCTCCCTGCCCCCAAAGCTTGGTTGGAAGTAAATGATGGGTAATTCTCCTCTCAGCTGGGAGCAACCTAAACCAGACTTGACCTCTTGGGAGGTCTTCATGGAAGGACTCAGGGGGGCTGCAACAAAGAGAGAGCAATGGATCCTTGCCCCCCAGCTATGTGACAAAGCCCAAGTCCCCATGTCCTCTGGGAGAAGCACTTCCTGGCTCTAATCCCCTTAAGCCTGAATACCTGATGGGGAGGGGTGCAGCTCCTTGCCTTGCTAGAGCGTGTCCTGGGGAAAAATCTGGCATCACAAAGAATTCCTGAAAAACCTGTGAAATCTGCTCCGCTAAGAGTGTTTTCATTCATATGATAAGGGTCTGAGAGGAAATGAGTATGTCTCCCAAAGTTTCTGCAAAACTCCCTTCCTGACAGACACTGACAGACTAAGCCCTCAGATTTCTTTGAAATGTTATCTATTGTTCGATCCTTGATGCCCTGTATTCCTGTGTATTACAACCCAATAAAAGCCCTTGGAGGAAGAGCCTCAATGCCTTTTTCCCCTGAGAAACTGGCCACTTCTCTTCCCCAAGCAGATCAAGTCATGTCATGTTTACTTCCATCCGTGGTGGACGAGGGGACTTAGGGAAAAAGTCGCCCCCGCATCTGGTGCCCGAACAGGGACCTGAACAGATTCGGGACCTGCTTTCATCCAGAGGCTTCGAGCCACATCGCCACAGATGCACACCTAAGAGAGACAGAAATCAACGCTTCATCACCAGAAGGATCAGGGGCATTTGTGGGTAAGGCCCTAAAACGTGTTAGAAATAAGAGAAAGGTTACTTTTTACCACCCGTTGAGTGGGTTTATCTCCCTGCACTCCCCTTCATAATAAGGACCTTGCTTTCTTCCTCCCAAGCATTTTCGCTGCATCTCTGCAGACATGGGTCGGGCAGTTAAGAGCCAATAGGGCATGCGCTGCAGGAAGACTCCCATCAGAGGCATAAGTTGGTCATGGTGCCGGGTTAGAACATTAGGTTTCCTACCCCCATGTTACTACACTTTCTAAACATCAGAACAGTTCCAGTTCAGCTTGATTTTATTCAACAAATACATATTTGGTAAGCAACTAATAATTGTGGAACGATGCAAGGATGCAAGGACAGAGCCCTACCCTCAAGGAACCTGCAGGCTAACAAGGAACCCCTCATAAGAAGTGGGGCTGTTGCCATCCGCAAACTGCGTGCATCTGGGGCCACAGCTCCTGCCTGGTTCCTTCCCTAACATCCATGTCCCTCACTTTGTGAAAGGTCACATTACCTCACTTTGCTCTTATGAAAAATCCATATTAGTACCTATTGTTGCTAACCAGAGAAATCCAAAGAGGGTTTTCACTTTTACAAAAAAAAAAAGGAGAAAATAGTTCGGGGTTGGTTTTGCAGCAGCCATTAGAGAGGCCGCACGCACCCCAAGCAGCGAGAATGGCCTCCTGGAGCTCCTTCCCTGGAAGCACACTCAGCGTCCCAGTGTGGAGGCACCAGAGCTCTGAGCTGTGTCTGGGAGCATCTGTGCTTCATCTCCACTTATTTCGTGCCTCTGGTAGCAAGGATGAGTTCATTGTAAGGTATCAATCAGAGAAGTCTAAGAGCTCATAAGAGTATTATGCTTAGCATAAAACCAGATGTAATTAAGCATATTTAGTGTAACTTGGTAGGTTATTTTGAGGTCTGGGAACACTCAAAATTTTTTTTGTATAAATTAGTGGTCACTATACCTTTGCTTTACACTGTTTCAGCTTACTAAAAGTTTTATAGGAAGCTCCACTTTTGAACAGCACGGAAAACCTGTAATAGGTTTCTGACCTCCAATCTTTTGACAAGCCATGAGCTGGCCAGGAAGTGAGGCAACCCAAGGGAGAGGTCCCCAGGATTTCTTGTAAATCTAGAGTGAGGCAATAAAGAAATGCCTAAAAAGAGTGTGTTTTGATGTAAAAAAAATGTTTAAATTTTTATGCAAACAGCACACAAAGCCATATAAAAGTAAAATGAAGATAAACCTTACTTTACAAAAATATTAATTCTTGGTACACTACTAGTGGCAGGATCTGCTAAAGGGATACAGAATTTGGGTGGTAACTGCCTTTCAATGTGACCTCATAGTTGACGAATAATTTCATCTGGGATTAATGTCAAAAATCTACCCTCAAGTGTCTCTTGCTCATGTCATGATAGGCAACAGAGGCACCAGTAAATATTTGTGGGCTAGCCATTGACCTTTGGTCACATTGACTCAGGCACTGGGACTAAAATTCCTGACCAAGGTGACTTCCATGAAGTTTTTTCCCCCATAGAATCAAATCCATTTTCCTATCAGGAAATGGGACTCTAGAAATTAGGATTCAAAAATTTGAACCCAGAGTTCCTTCCCATCTAATATACTGTCTGCTGGGAAATGCAGGTAGCTGCTGCACAGTCATCCAGGCCTCCTGGAGGAAGAAGAGAGCCTGAGAGCCAGAGCTAGCCAGTCTGAGAGCCTGAGAGCCCGAGAGCCCTTCTTTTATTTCAAATCTCCTAGCCCATAATTTCTTGCGCTCTGGAGGTGTTCAGCATTGTCTCCTCCTATGGCCCCTGCCCGCTCCTCCCCAGTGATCAGATCAGATGTCTCTGTATGGCAGACATTTCATCTTTTCTATTGTCTGCTGTGGATGTTCCCTCTAGTTCAACTGCCTTAAAGAAGTCCCTTTGAGAAACAAATTTACAACAGAATTTCCCTGAGTTTCTTATCATACATGTGAAAAGGCCACATCTCTTTTTAAATCGTTTTTGATCCAGTTGAGGAGCTAGATCTTGCATA